TCTGATAGAAACTCCCGAATCATATCTGGAATATGAGTTAAATTGCCAAAATTTTCCTAAACAACAAATTGATACATCCTCCATGAATGGTACTTGAAGTGAATTACTTTTTATTCTTTTACAAACATCATTAATCCATTTTCGTATGTGGGATATGAGTGTCTTGGTTTCTATACTTAGAAAAATAAGTGTACAGATTTTTAACGTTGTTTTTTCGTCTTCTTTTTCCGGTTTTAACACAAGGGATTATAAGTGTGCACAAATCCATTCCTAGTTGTGTTTTCTCTCGTTTTCGGTTTAATTTGATCCCTTTTTCGTTTTTTTCAGTGTCTCAAATTATCATACATTGAATAATAAGAGTGAATGATCTATTCCATTTTTTTTTCTCGTAATCAATTTTTGTCCTATTTCCCGGCAAACTTTTTTTTCGTTTTGTTTTTCCATCTTATTTTATTTTATTATTTATTTATTTATTTATTTATTATTCTTTTTAGTCTTAGCCTGTAACATAAAAAACAGACCGCACAATACATCCTCAAATCTATTTTTTCTCGCTCCCAGTTTATTTTTTACCAGTTTCCCGTCAAACTTTTTTTATTCAGTGTCTCAACACAAAATGTGGTCGAAAATTCCCAATTCAGTTTTTTTCACTCGTTTTCCCTTTTATACTGCCTTTTTTAGTGTCTCAATTTATAACACAAAAAATAACAAGCGTGCACGATTCCTCCCCAATTCGTTTTCAGTTTATCTATCATCATCACCATCAATTTTTTTTCTTTTCGGAGGTTCATCCCAACACCTCTTATCGAAGGAGTACCTGTCCACGAACATCACGTCCCATCACGATACCGATAAAGGGCGTGACGACATAGCACTTCTGGAGCTGACGGGAGTGAGGGGGGCGGGGTGTAGGGCTGTCCTTTTCTGTACATTTTATAAGGTTTCGCAATATATATGTATATATATATATATATATATATATATATATATATATATATATATGCACATATATATATTTATACATATATATATTCATATATATGCATGCATATATATATATATATATATATATATATATATGTATATATATATATATACATATATATATATATATATATATATATATATATATATATATATATATATTATACATATATATATATATATATATATATATATATATATATATATATATATATATATATATATATATATATATATATGAGTGTTTCTGCACTTGTTTGTTTTGAGCAAAAGAGAGAGAGAGAGAGAGAGAGAGAGAGAGAGAGAGAGAGAGAGAGAGAGAGAGAGAGAGAGAGTGTATAAGAGAAGTGCGAGTGTAACCGAGAGGTGAAGAAATATACAGAGGATAAGAGATAACGCAAGAAAAAAAGGAAGAAAGAAAGAAAGAAGAAAGTAAACACCAATTACACAGCCACACCACCGAAGCAAGAAAGGCGAGGCAGTTAAAAGTTTTAACGATCGCCCCAGATTATCACGAGAAGATATCCCTCTCTCTCTGTGACGTCACGCTCCCTAATCTAGGGCTTTTGTTATCCCTTGTGGCTTTGCGCTTGCCGGTTGGGTGGGTGGGGTGGGAGGGGTGGGCTGACAGATCGTGGGAAGGGGTGGGGAGGGAGGTCGTGGGATGGGGGGAGGAGCGGAGGGGGTGAGGAGGGATATTGTGGGAGAGGGGGGCGGAGGGGGTGGGAGGGAGGGGGGCGGAGTACAGGGAATTCCCCTTCCAGTGCGAAGGCAAGAGACGCTGGCTACTGCTGTGATGGTTGCTGACTTTTTTTTTTATCACCACTTTAATTCATGCTTGATATCTCTCGAGCTGGTGTGTATTAAATGTTAGACCATGGATTTGTTAGTGTAGATTACGAGGATTAAGAGGTATGTAAATGTACATAAGTGTGGTTACACATATGATCCCTAACTTTAAAGAAAAAAAGAATAAACATGCACTGATATTTCTAATGCTTTCGGTGCATAGGTATATAAATTGAGTAGGTTTTGTAACAAGGCCTTGAGATCTATAACATATCTCTCTCTTTATGTGTCTGAGTACGTAAACTCGTGTTTCCTTTAATGATCTAAATATTCAGAAAACATTCGGTCTAAAAGCAGACAGAATGCTTCTTTGTTTGGATCTCTGTGCTCTCCTTTCCTATTTCTTTTTGTCTGCTTTGAGTGTGTGTGTGTGGGGGGGGGTACACACACACACACACACACACACACACACACACACACACACACACACACACACATATATATATATATATATATATATATATATATATATATATATATATATATATGTATATATATATACATATATATATATGTGTGTGTGTGTGTGTGTGTGTGTGTGTGTGTGTGTGTGTGTGTGTGTGTGTGTGTGTGTGTGTGTGTGTGTGTGTGTGTATACACATATAT